CGGTGGACCCACCGACCTTGCCCGCCGCCCAAGGGTGTTCCAGTGCGCGCTGTTCGTCTCGGCAGCGACCAACCTAACGGCTCAGCTTTCTGTTGCCCTCCACACTCCACTGTCTGTCCACACGGCGTCCCGCCTGGCTTTTGCTCCGACTCGCCTCGTCTCGCCTCAACCTTCTCTGCTATCCGACCCCCCCGACACAGTACCACATCACACACGCATCGCGTCTCGATGTGTGATGCCCGGCTGCCTCCATCCGCTGGCTGATCGCGTCACCGTCACCGTCACCGCCCCGACGCCGGGCTGATGCGTCCACGCCGTCGCTGACTCGACTTCTTCCCCCTCGACCACCACCACCGCCGACTTTCTCACCCGCCCGCCTCCTCCTCCCCGAGCTGCCCGGGCAGCTCGCTTTCAAGACGTCTTCCTCAAAGAAGCGAAGGCTCGCCCGCCCCCTTCCCTCGTCAAAGGATCCAGACGTCCCCAGCTCGCCCTCGCCCGACACCGCCTTGCCCTCGTGCGAACCCGACGACAACCCGGCATTCTCCTTCTCTGCGGCCTCCGGGCTCGACTCGCCTCTGTACAACCGTGCCGACTCTCTGCCGGCCTCCAGCCTGCCCCCGCGGCTCCAGACGCAGGTCGGCTCCCTCGTCTCCGCAGACTACGCCTCCTCTGTGGCCTCGTCGTCGCCCTGTGCATCGGCGTACGCTGAGCTCTCCCTCGAGAGCGACCGAGGAGGCGACGACACTGCTTCGGCCCGGACCACCGCCCGAAGCCAGTCCCCGTTTCGCATCTCGAGGAGGGCCATTATGAACGGCGATGCCGAGCTGCCTCACCGTTCCTCTTCGCCACTCAAACGACGAGCCTCCAACATGGAGCACGACCCAGACGCGCATAAGAACGGTGACGATTCCGAGATGACGGCGACTCAAGCCCCCGGTGAAGAAAATGTTCCCCCGGGCGGCTTCCCCCGTGCCATGAGCGTTGATATTCCGGAGGCGGATGCCTCTAAAGAAGTCGACGATATTACGTCGCAGCGTAAGTCTGATAGGTCGTGACTGAGAAGTCCTGCATCTAACAAGAGCATAGCCCCTCCCCCACTTCAGGAGCAGATCAAGATTATTGAAACCCTCTTGAAGGCGTTTGCCGAAGCACCTGTCCAGGAGGGGAGCACGGCATATTTGGTGTCCCGGACATGGGTGGAAAAGGCCCTTGACCTTCGCGCTGATTCCAAGGCGTCCAAGGTAGCCTCTGAGGATGCTTCCCTTGGCCCCGTCGACAACTCGGACATTATTGAAGAAGTCCTCAAAGATTCCACCGGGAAGGACTTCGTGCGCCTCAAGCCAGGCTCTGGACTTGAGTCATTCGAGTTGTTCCCCGAGGATGCCTGGAAGATGGTTGTTGCGTGGTACGGCATCCAGGACGGACAGGTCGCCATCGTTCGAACTGCAGTCAACACCGCCGACAGCAAGCAAGCGCCACCGAACATCATGTACGAGTTCCACCCGCCTGTCTTCCGGGTCCATCGACTCTGGTCGCAAGTCAGCCCTTTGCCAATCGAGCAGAGTCTCAAGGCCGACAACCCACCACCCGTGGTTGTTGCGAGGAGCGCCACCACTCATGCGCAGAACTTTTTGAGGGAGCTCAAGACCCTCACCGGCATTCCGAAAGACCGCAAGATGCGGTTGTTCAGACTAGCCCCCGATTTCCAGCCTGCGGACAACCCGGCTGAGCAGCGTTCTGCTCTCACCCCTCCGGATTCTCCCGAACGGGGACTAGGCCAGGAAGCGTGGTCTCACCTTCTCCTGAGCATTGTGGCGTTCGGCTCTACCCGCGACCACAGGACGCAACTGCACCTTGCCGATCAGACTACTAATGATAAATTCAACGGTCAAGCTGCCCTCCAACATTACGATTTGACCGCCGACTGCGTTCTCATTCTCGATGAGGCCATTGGAACGACGAGCTGGGTCAGCTCATACACCGGCAAGGAGAAGATATCTCAAAAAGCAATGCCTTCCCGGAACGCCCTCTCGCTGTCGTCAAAACCCAACAGCAACAGGAGCAGCCCGGGTCGGGACGGGCCAGTGACCAGGGCTCGAGCGCAGAAGAAGCGGTTTGGCCGGAACACCGGAGCTGTCGGTCTGCATAACCTGGGAAATACTTGCTACATGAACTCAGCACTGCAGTGTGTCCGAAGCGTTGAGGAGCTTACCAAGTACTTCCTGACCGAATCATATCTTCCCGAGATCAACCAGACCAATGTCCTCGGATACGAAGGCAGGGTTGCCAGCGCATATGGAAGTCTTCTCAGGGAAATCTATGAGGAGGGACGCGGCTCCGTGAGCCCCCGAGACTTCAAGTCTACCGTGGGCCGTTGCCGCCCGACATTCTCTGGATGGGGCCAACAGGATTCCCAGGAATTCTTGGGATTTCTGCTTGATGCTCTTCAGGAGGATTTAAGCCGGATCAAGAAGAAGCCCTACATCGAGAAGCCTGATTCCACCGACGACATGATCAACGACCCCGAAGCAATCCGCAAGATGGCGGACGAGGTCTGGGACATTACTCGCAAGCGCGATGACTCGGTCATTGCCGACCTCTTCACTGGCATGTACAAGTCGACTCTTAAGTGCCCAGAGTGCGGCAAAATCAGCATCACGTTCGACCCTTTCAACAACCTGACGTTGCCATTGCCGGTCCAGAACATGTGGGTTAAGACCGTCAAGTTCTTTCCGCTCAACGACGTCCCGGTGAAGATCGAGGTTGAGCTACCGAAACATAGCTCTGTTGATGCACTGAAGCAATTCATCTCCGAACGAACTGGTGTACCGGTGGAGCGTCTCATGGGTGCCGAAGAGTTCAAGGATCGCTTCTTCAAGATCTATGACGGTAGCCATGACATATCCGAGGAGATCCAGCACACAGATACACCGACAATGCATGAGCTGGATGCTGTGCCTACAAATTGGCCCAGCAAGGTCCCGCGCAAGAAGTACAGGTCTATGCTGGACATTGACTCGCCACCAGAGTCCTCCGATTCGGATGACGAGCAGTCTGACACCCTCGTGGTCCCTCTCCTCCACCGCCGCCCACAAGTCCCCGGACGTGGGCCGGATGGCATGCCACCGCCACAATTCATCACTCTGAACAGAAAGGAAGCCTCCAGCCTTGACGTCATTCGTCGAAAGGTCCTTGAAAAGGTGGCCACACTTACCACGTGGTCGACGCTGGCAGATGCAGCGCACGAGAGCGACAACGCAGATTCCGCTGATGGAGACATGGTCGTCACCACGTCGTCCGATGCCGACTCTTCGGGAGATGGCAAAGTTGCAGCTCGTTCGGTGTCGGGCGAGGAGGACATGGTCGACGTGACAATGAGGGACGCCGTCGACAGCCAACATGCCAACTCCAAGATCCTGAAACAGTTCAACACCCGGCGTCCGAAATTCATTAGCCCGGATACCTTCTTGGACCCAGAGCTACAGAATCTTTTCGATCTGTCTTACTTCAGAAGCGATTCTGACGGCCCGGTCCCCACGGGATGGTCCAGCGTCGACAACACCAGGACCCTTCCGAAGCTCACGGACCGTATCCCTGAAACGAAGGATGCCGAAGATGAAAGCCCAGAGAGCGTCGGTAGCACTGGTTCCGGCAACGAAGACAGCAGTAATGAAGATGAAGGACCCGAGGAGCCAGCCCAAACACGGATGGCAGAGGAATCAAGTGACGAGGATGCAAGCCCGGTTGCTAGAGTATGCCCCTTCCTTAACCCCTTTCAACTATTCGCAGCCTTACTAATTGCCATGAAGTTCGCGGGTCGACATGGACGACAGCATCACAAGTCTGGGCCCGGTGGGCGCAAGAAGTTCAAGGGCCACAAGACGTACGGTAAGAAGGGCAACAAGCGACGAGATAAGCAGATGCGCGGTGGCAAGCATGCACACCGTGCTACTCAAGTCGAGCCCCAGCCCATGCCTCCTGCCGTCGCAGACGGCGGACCTCTGGTCCGCCTATACGAAGGCCTCGTCGTCGACTGGAACGAAGAGGCCTGGGAGATGGTGTTCGGCAACATTGGGCGGCGTGACGACTCCACTGAGGGCGCCAAGACATACTCGGACATTGAGACAGTCCACGACAATGCGCTCAAGCTTACTCAGAGGCGACGCCAGAGTCGTAAGAATAAGGGCATCACTTTGGAGGAATGCTTGGACGAGTTCGAGCGAGCCGAGGTCCTCTCGGAGCAGGACATGTGGTACTGCCCACGATGCAAGGAACACCGCCGCGCAAGCAAGAAGTTCGATCTGTGGAAGACGCCGGATATCCTCGTAGCCCATCTCAAGCGATTTAGCAGCTCAGGCTGGCGCCGCGACAAGCTCGACGTTCTGGTCGACTTCCCCATCGAGGACCTCGACCTGACATCGAGAGTCATCCAGAAGGAGGACGGCAAGGATGAGATCTACGACTTGATCGCTGTTGATGATCACTATGGCGGCCTCGGTGGTGGGCACTACACTGCCTACGCGAAGAACTTTGTCGATGGACGCTGGTACAGCTTTAATGGTACGTCGTGCGCAAAACTAGCTGTGGTCGAGCCTCACTAACATGGCCTGACAGATTCGTCTGTCCACGTCGTTTCCGACCCGACAAACGTGGTCACAAACGCAGCGTACCTGCTGTTCTATCGCCGGCGGTCCAGCAAGCATCTGGGCGGCCCCCGCTTCGACGAGATTTTCGCCAAGTACGACAAGGAGAGCTCTCAGTCGGATGACGAGGCGACCGAATCCAGCGAGGATGGCCGTGCGTCGGTCAAGACAACGGTAAAACAAATCGTTGACGTCGAAGACGACGACCCGCCGCTGTATGACGGGTCAATTCGGCGAAGCATAGAGGACGATGGGGAGGAGACGCAGGACGGTTATCGAAACCTGGGCTCAAAGTCTCTCGACATGACGCAGGGCTGGAGCTTTGACAGGCTGTCTGGCAGCGGCCCTGAGGGCTCCAACACCGCCGACTGTGCCAGCGACGACGCTCAGTTCGATTCGGGCGACGAGCAAGGTAACGAAGCCGCTGATCAAGACACGGACATGGCGTCGGTGACTGTCGACGAGTCCGGGCACTGGGAAGGACAAGATGTACTCTCAGTGCCAGCTAATGAGGCAGGCGACCGGGACTCGGAGGAAGTCGCCGAGATCCATTTGGAGGGCGACAAGGCCGGCCGCGGCTAGTAGACAGGGCGACCGCCCTCGGCCGCGAATGCGGGTCGACCTCGCTTATATGGCGAGGCATCTACCCCTTGCTGTAAGCAAGCATATCGGACGGAGTGGGTGACTGATGTGAGACGTGCGGAAAACACCCGTGGGCGGCCTCAGACACAGTTGTCATGTAAGGATGGAGGCGAGGAGGCGGCAGAGAGTTTTGGTGTCGGCCGACGGCTGCGGATAGAACTAGAGTCTTGCCCAAGCACTCGGGGACGGCGTACGGGCATAGAGAGACGAGTGGGCCGACGCATGATTGCATGAATAGCCTCGAGTACTTTTGTACCTCGACATAGGAACGGAGTTTGCGACTGGGGTCGCTTTCATGTCTAGACGAGTACTTGGTACAAGTACATTATACGCTGGGTAGCACAGCCGGTGAGGTGAATACGTGTAGGCAAATAAGGAGGCAACGGGTTGTGCCTGTCCAGGTTTCATCGCGTGCTCGATGTCGCCCTCATGGACATTGTGCACGCGGCAACAACACCAATGACAACAACAAACACAACAGTAGAAGGGGACAACGGGGCGGCCGAGACCGGCCGGGGTGAGTTGGGCAGAGACAGCTGCAGGGCATGGGCAGGCCAGTAGTACGTAGGCATCAAGGTGTCAATGCGCATAGACTCAGTCAGGGCGCTTCTAGAAGGAGGCATCTGGCCCACGCCCCGATTCAGCGTCCATCCCCTAACAAGAGCCGCCCCTCCCGAGCACTTCTGCCACCGCGACGTCAGACCAATGGCAACGCGGCTGGGCGCACTCCCTCGCACAACCGCAGAGACGAAAAGTCGGCAGAAGGGGCTTCGAATGATGTTCTCGAAGGCGGGTGATGGTCCCACCAGGGGGGCATCGCTCGCCCTGTCGGGCGTGAGGGCACGCACGCACGCACCAACAGAGCCACATCGAGGGGGGGCGCCGGGCGGCCAGCGGAGGATGAGCGGGAATGAGTGCGTCCTCATGTACATGCTCGTACAAGCACAGAGTAGGGAGTTCCACGGAGTATACGGAGCATACGGAGTGTACAAGCGAGGTACTTGTAGGACCCAACAGCGGCAGTCCCCGAGGTGCCGGCCCGCTGTTGGGCGAAGGGGAAGAAAGGGGGCGCAGATGGAGATGCGCAATGTCTCGAGATGTTAGATGTTAGATGGCAGATGGCAGATGCGCAACGCGCAGACGTGGTGTCGTTGGTTGCGGCCGGGCGGGAGGCGCAGGGCAGTCCACGCCAGCTGACGCAGCTCTGGCCTCGCCCTGCGCCTGCCCTGCCCTGCCCTGCCTGAACTGAACTGCCCCAGCTGAGCAGCTCAGGCCAGCTCAGGCCAGGCCGGCCGCCTCAGGCAATCGAGGTCAGGCGGGCGATCAAACCAGCGCGCGCTCACAGGTGCTCAGGTGCCGTTCCTTGGCGGGCGGTGGGCGGCCATGCGCGGTAATAGAAGCAGGCAGGCAGATGGACAGTGCCGGAGCGGTGGTTGGTTGCTGGAGCCTCCAGGGCTGCGCGAAGGGGACCTAGCTGGCAGCCTGGGGTTGGCAAGGGGGCCGGGGGCCCAGGGGGGACGATGGATGCACAGAGACAATTGCGCGTGCGCGCAGGCCTGTCCTGTGAGAGGCCACTGGCTGGAGGAGAGAGGGGAAAAAATAAAAATGGGTGGAGATGGGGGAGACAGACCGAGATGAGGACCAGGCCCACAAAGGACCTTCCATGGAGAGTTCTGGAAGACGTCGAGAAGGACCTGCAAGAGGGAGGGCAAAAAAAAGCGGACTGGGGGGGTTTGTCTTCCATGGAAGGCGTTGGTCCCCGCCCGCCCCCAAATCGCCGCCGCCGCCGCCCCGCGTTTGTTGCGTGTGTTCCATTCGTTTGGGAAAACCTTCCGCGTTGCGGGCAACGGTTGGGGGACGTATGACAGGCTAGGTACGCATGTACGCCCGAAGTTTGTAGGTGGTGGCGACCTAGTGGCGCGCGCGCTCTCTCTCACTCTCTCGCTCTCTCGCACAGGGGTGGCGGCACCAGTAGGGAAGGGATTTGCGGCCTGACGCAGATGGCGAGGGTCTGTTTCCATTCACGTACGTATGCTGCCGCTGTCGCGTTTATCCATTGGCATAGGCATATTATGTAGAGCAGGGAGGACAGGAGGCAAGCCGTTTGGTACTTTTTCTGTTCTTACTTTGCGCACTGCAACGTCACAGAGAGGATGAAGGGGGCTTTGCAGGGGAAAAGGGGTGCAAAAGCAATTACCTAGGCGGCGGCGGTTTGGGCAACTGCCCAGCGCTCTGCCCGCAGGTAGGTAGTGCTGCTGGCTGCTGTCGCAGGGCGTCTGTACTGCCCGCACGTGCGCTCCGGCCGCGTCTGGCGTCGGCGGCGGCGGGAAAAGCAACTGGCAAGTTTTGGACCAGCCCCCTTCCTGGAAGCGGGCACGTAGACGGGCGTGCCAAAGGGAAGCTTCCGTCGCCACAGAGGAGGCGGCGGCGGCGGCGGCGGCAGTGACGGTGGTGGTGGTGGTGGATGGAAGCGGCAGGTTGGGTCGTGGATTTCAGTGACTGGAGCCCGCGAACAGCTGGAGACACGGCCACCCTGCTGGCGGCGCGAATCCCTAGGCACGTAGGTCCCTGGATCCCTGCCGAGCCTGCATCCGGCGTCTGTTCTTACAGCAGGTGCTAAGGCACGGTTACCTTAGCGCGGGCTCAGAAGGTCGCTGCTGGGGGCCATGGGGCTCCAGTCCCGTCATCAGGGCCCAGGTTTCCGGAATGCAACTCTGGGATGCCCTCGTGTGCGTTGCCTGGGCAGAGGACAACGCGGCCTCTTGGATACAGTACCTTGCAGCACCAGGCGATGGACCCAAGATAGGTAAATATGCCTGAGGTAGCTCCGAAAAAGCTCAGCGCCGGGGCCCCTCCGCATCGGAGGGCGGGAGTCAGGACCGCGCGCGCCATGGTGTGCGATGCGAGAGGTCGCCTTGTTATCCTTGACGGACAGGAAGGATGGGGGGGCAATGCAGGACATCTCGGGGTATCGTGGCCGAGAGACGGACGTGGTGCCCGCGCGCCGGACGACAGGCCACAAAAGGTCGCAAGTCATGTCGGCTACGGCGCAGGGGCCACGACGTCGCGCCGAGGAAGGAGGGAGGGGGCCGCCCAGCCATCCAGCCACCTAGATATCGAAACCGTGAGCGACAAAGCGAGTAGCTGCTAGAAAACGGCAACGACTCGACGATGGCCGACTGTGGTGCACTGCGTGACTGATTCGAGCAATGGCGGGCTGTTCCACCGTCATGACCGCCGACAGCAACCACTAAGAGGTAGTAACAACGTTAGTACCTGCATCCCGTCAGCAAGCCCGAGAGTCTGTCCTCATGCGGGAGGAGAGCAACTCGGGGCACGCCATGCTTGCTGTTGAGGCAACCCGGAAGCTTAGAACAACTTGGATAACGCTACAGACCTACTTACTTTCTATGTGCCTTGCTTCGGCGCGCCGGCGGGCCCTCCTAGGCAGCCAGCGCCAGCATCAGCGCCGAACGCCGAGCGAGATGCGAGGGTGGGAAGCTTGGGGCGGCGGCCGCGCGCCATGGGCGACGGGGCGATGAGCGAGGCGATGGGCGGCGATGGGGCGACGCAAGGAAACCCCGGGAAGCCCTTGCGGAGGCGCGCGCGTTGATGATCGGTGCCCCCGTGCGTGCGTGCGTGCCTCGGACGGAGGCGCGCTGGGGGCATCGGAGGAGACGACGGACGGACGGACGGACGCACGACTTGCTTCTTTTGCTTCTTTCTCGTCTAGGCGGCCCCTTGCGCTTGTTTCTTCTGCAGCATGTCCGCCGCGTGCGGAGGGTGAGGGACGACGGACACGACGGTGCAGCTGTCCGCCACGTCCGCGAAGCAGCGTCAGGCCGCCGGGCTAGTTACTAGGTAGTTGTCCCCGGGCAGCACGCCGCCGGCCATTCCGCAGGTCAACTCACCTACCAGCACTTGTTCCGCACCACAGCGAAGAAGTGGCCTCTCGTGGCCTGGACCATCCCTATGTGGTCTTGGTGGTCTTCTTCTGTGGGCTTGCAGCGTACACCTGCAAGCCTGGGGCCTCCCCGGGGCTCGTTACCCCCCCCCTGTCCCCCACCCCCCGGTTCTCCGCGGGAGGGCCGTCTTGTGAGTTGAGTCTCTGCTCTGGCGCGTCGTGGCTCGCGCGCACAGCAGTGCAGTAAAAAGACGCCCGTAGAATCCACGATTCCCCTGTGCAATGGACCGTGCTTGCTGGCTTGCTGGCCCCCCCTTTCCCACTGCTCTCCTTTCCTTCGCCGAGCAACTCGTCGGTGCGTGCCGCCGCGTCTGCATCGTCGGGCGTGAAGTTGCGCAAAGGGAAAAGCCAAGACCCAACAACACCGGAGCATCTGAGAGGTACTTGAGATTCACCCAAGAGCCAGCGCCCGCGCCCGGCGTCGACCGTCCCCGCTTTGTGGCTTCTCGAAGGCCCATCTCCGACCGGGATCTTGTTCCTCTTTTTCTTCTACCCCCCCTTGTGTTACTTATCGTCGGTCCTCGTAGTCGTCGTCGCTGCTTGTCTCACATTGCCCGGCCCAGCAGAGAGCGTCTCGCGCTGCGCGGTGTGTGTAACACCCAGAAACCTGTCGGGTAAGTTATTGGGGTTCGCCATTTGGTCGGCCACGTACCCAGCTTCCCCGTCCCTTGCCCAGCAGCTGCCGCTCGCGATGCCCTCCACTCTGCGCTGGCTCGGCTGGGCGCGCCCTCCACAGCATCCGGCCGTCCCATCCATCCCCCCATCCCCCGGTCCCCCGTCAACCCGTCCCCATCCCAGGCCAGCCAATCCAGCAGGGCCAGGTGCCTCGATCCCTGGACCGGAGGCTTGTCTGCGACACGCCCTCTTGCAGATCGCCGCTCAATCGGCGCCGACATGAGAGCTGTTTGCTGGCGCTGCTGCTGGGTGCTGCTGCTGCCCCTCCAGCCGTGCCCTGCCCTGCCGTGCGCAAGGTACCACACCTTGCGCTCCGTTCCATGCATTCCGTGGCTCAATGAGGTGGTGGTGCCTGTTTAGTTCCAGGCGCGGCCCCGGGTTGCATGCCAACCTACAGGCCATACTAGAGTCGAGGCCTCCGCTGAGTGCCACTGCCAGCGCAGGTTCGCGGGTAGCAGGGGCAGCTACAGCAGCAGCAGCACGCGCCGCAGCGACGCTCGCGCACCGGGCCAGCCAGCTCCAGCACATGCACAAACACAAGCACGCGCACGCACGCACGCACGCGCCCGGTGCCGCACCCACGCATGCACACACACACACCTGGACATTCACACATTCACACACCCGTGGGCAGACAGACACACCACGCACACCTGCCCGCTGCCCAACTTTTCCCATTGGCCATTGGCCGTCCAGCCAGCCAGCTCCCGCAATTCGCCCCCCCGTCGCCCCTCCCCACCCCCCCTGTCCAGGTAGGTAAGGTATTGTCCCCCGGCGCTGCAGCTGGCCTGGCTGAGTGGCTAGTGGCCTGCTTCCAGGGCTTCCAGGGCTTCCAGTCCCCTTCTGGATGACGCCGCTGGTTCCCCAGGCGCTCGTCTCCCACCTCGCCCCCCCCGTCCATCCGCCGCTGCCATCCACCCATCCACCCAACCATTCGCGCCGCTCGAGGCCACAGAACCACCAAAACCACCACCACCACGACAGGACGGCCGTTTCCTCCTGCTCCTCTCCGGCAAGAGCCATTCCACCCATACCACACACGCACTTTGTGCCATACCGGCCATCCTCGCACGGCGAAACCCACACCCCCCTTCCAGACTCCCGTCCTGGGTCCTGGGTCTGGGTCCCGCTGCTGGCGACTGGCGACTGGCGACTGGCCATCCATCTACCATCGGCCTGCCTGCCATCCCGCCCATCTGCCTTTCCTTTGGTGCCGCTCCGCTTTCCGTCAATTGCGCAACGGCCGCCTCTCTTTCCCCCTCGCACTCGCGCCTTTCACTATCCTGCAACTCACTCGGCCGCCACCACGCATCGCCTTGGCTGTCGCCATCACCCCCCTTTGCTGGGCCTGATTTTCCTTGACTTTTTCTCTTAATTCTTCTAATCTGGAATCGAGCAGGCTCAATCTAGACGGCCTCGCCGCCTTTTGCCTGCCTCATCACCGACTTCTCGTGCGCACCTCGGCACTGCTCCTTCTACTTCTTGGCGATCGTCGCCGGCAACCCGGCCTCGCCCTCGTCGGCCATCCGCTCGATTCCGCCATCAACGGACCATCGTCCCCCGCCCCCGACGTGAAACCGCCAGAGCGCACCGCACCTTGCACCACCACCGGCTGCGGTGTTCGCGAAGCGATTGCCCCTTCCAGGCTCTGTGTGCTGCGGTCACACTGCCTCGACTCGTGCGAATTTTCTCCTCCCCGCCCGCCCGCGAACCGACCAAGCGGACACCCGTCGAGTCCCTGACCTCGAAGCGACCGTCGTACGCCGAAAATCTAGCGCTGCTCTCTGCCCGAGCCTCCCCTTGCCCGTGTGGTCAACGTGCTCCAGTCGCAAGACTGGTAGCTTCTCGTTGCCACAATGGACGCCATGGACCGACTCGCGTGCCATGTCATCTATGTTAATCGCGAAGTCGGTGAGGATCGCCTCATTCAGGCCGCCCCCGGCGAGTCCTCGTCGCAATTCTCCCCCGATCGGAAACACGATGGCCTGCGAGAAACGGTCCAGCCTCTTCTCGACGCCTTTGGCGACGGTACGTTGCACTACCTTGCGCAACCCGGCGGCGCGCAAATTCCCTTGCACCGTGGCCTGCTAACCATGCGTGTGCGCCTTTTAGTTCACGTTTGCGCCACCGCCAACTCGTGCTTGTCCAAGTTGTTCGAGCTTCAAGACGATTCAATGATGGACATGACTCCGACACTGGTCCTGCTGGATACCCCCCATGACCAGCAGTTGCAAGAGCCCCGGACGCTGTCCCACTCTTCTACCAACGGACCCGACTCATCCTCTTTGACCGGAACCGCCGAGATCCACAGGCCCGACGAGGAGCTATATGGCCTGACCTTGCTGCAGAAAATCATCACGGAAGCCCACCTTCGGAGCATGTCAAAACTTATTGTTCCAATCCCCCTCATCAGCTACCCCAACTCCGTCGCCTCCGCCCCTGGCGAACAGATGACGGATGGCGCGGTGGAGACCGTTGCCGCTGATGCTGGCAGCCTCGCTTTCCATCGCCAGCTGATAAGGAGATGTCTGGACTTGGGAGCTGTCGATGTCATCGTCAGTCCGCTGAGTGCCAAGTGCGTCACCTCGCTCGAGATTTGTGCCTACAAGGCACACCGAGACGCTGCGCGCGAGCAGCAGGCGCAGATGGAGATTGCCAAGGGCCGAAAGCGCTCGTGGGTCGGCGTCAATGAGCAGAAGCCTTTCGCTTACCTGCGCGAGGCCATGGTCTCGGGGCTCATGAATGGCATTTGTCGCATGGACGAAGAGAGCCAGCAGATTGCTGGAGCTCATATCGCCGTTTCGGCGGAGCGCCAGGCTGATATCGCCGTGGCCGTTGGCGAGTGGCACTTTTGCGCGCACTCCTTCTCCGACGATGAGCTGCTGGTCGCCGCCTTGGTCATGTTCAAGCACGCTTTGACGGTGCCGGACCTCGAGCGCTGGCAAATTCCCACCGGTAAGAAAATCTGGGCAGGCCAAAGCAAGACTTGCATCGTTTGCTAACATGTCTTGTTAGATCAACTAATCAGCTTCTTGGTGGCCTGTCGTGCTGCGTATAACAGTTTCGTCCCCTATCACAACTTCCGCCATGTTGTGGACGTACTACAGGCAACTTTTAACTTTCTCGTCCACGTTGGCGCTCTGCCAGCATATTCTGCGGCTCAAAAGTCGAGACAACCGGCCGACCGGTCACCTTTAGCGGCGCTGCTCAGCCCGTTTGAGGCACTGACTCTCCTAATCACGGCCATAGGCCATGATGTCGGCCACCCAGGCGTCAACAACGGCTTCCTCTCGACGCTCAACGCCCCCTTGGCACAGCTCTACAATGATCGATCCGTGTTGGAGTCGTTTCACTGCGCCGCCTATTCTCAGATCCTCCGCCGATACTGGCCCGCGGCCTTTGAAGATCGGAAAATGCGCGACTTGATGATCAGCTCGATTCTCGCGACAGACATGGGCCTTCATTTCGACTACATGAAGAAGCTGGGTGATGTGCAGGAAAAGCTCCACCACAACAACAGTTCGGAGGGCTGGAACGGCCGCCAGCAGGAGGAGTATAAGGCACTGGCTTGCTCGCTCTTGATAAAGTGCGCCGACATCAGCAACGTGGTGAGTTGGTGTACCGGGCCGCGAAGGAAAGAGACCTAAGCTAACACCGTTCGCAGGCGAGAAAACACAGCACTGCTCTTCAGTGGATGCACATCTTGGCAGAGGAGTTTTCTCGACAGGCTTCTATGGAGGATGAGCTGCAGATCAAGACGTCACTCATGGCGACTCCGAAGAAGGATCTGATATCCCTGGCAACCGCACAGCTTGGCTTCATGAATATGTTTGCGATCCCCTTATTCCAAGGCGTGGCCGACATCATGCCAGCGATGCGGTACACAGTGGAAGAGCTCGAGGCGAATAAGGTTCTTTTCGAGCAGAAGGTGCAGGACGCAAAGGCCAGCCAGCCGAGGACCGATGCAGAGAGGATACGGGCGGACCGCGAGGGCACCTTCTCTCCACGGACCAGGAGCTACGTGGCGGACACCGAGAACGGCGACAAGACTCAGGGTCCTCAGGCCGGCACCCCGCGCGTCATGACAGATGGCGTGTCAGAGAGCAACATGACGCCCACGGCGATGAACGACGTCGAACGCCACGGCGAGCAACCATTGCCGACGGCGTCGGCGCTACGCAACGCTGACGAGCGAACGGATCTCAATGGCTTGCCCTCGTTTGATACCGCGGGCAGCGATCCGTTCAACAACCGGAACCGGGGCGATAGCGGGGCAGACAGCAAAACATCGGTACCTTCAGCGCGGCAACGATGCAGCGAGGCGACCGAGGGGAGCGCAGCAGGGGCATTCGCGGGCGACTGGCAGTCGCAGGCCACGAGCGCAGCGACAGGCAAGGCGGCTCTGTCGCCGAGCACGCAAGGCACAAGCATTGTCAGCAACGAATCGATGGAGAGGACCCTCAGCGCTCCGGGTCTGAGCACTTCGCGTCCAGGCACGAGTAATCACAGCTCTCCAGCGACGTCTTCTCAGCGACAGAACGGACGGAGCGAGGAGGAGCCGCTCGCTGTCGGCAGCATAGGCAAGGCCGAGGGCAAATCGCTGAAGAAGAGGCCGAGCCGATTTAGGATGAAGGACTTTCCCTTCTTCCGGCGCAACAAGGGCTCGAGTCCCTCGTTGGCGGGCACGGACACGTCAAACTGAGGGCCGCCGATTAAGGCCTGGGCGTGGCAGCGTTCGAAGCAAGCGCGTGGCGGTAACTGGACCTCGGGCCAAGCATCTGCGGATGGCGGTGTTTGGACACCTGTGCTGCGTATCGTGGCCCATCTGCGCTCTGGCATGTCGCCCGGGGAGCCGACCCACGACCTTCAACGAGCACGCGCGAGACAAGGCGTGACGTTGCCGCTCGTCCATCGCAAAACATATGAGCGCGGTTTGGTCTGCACTCTGGCATGCCTATACATACGTGTACATTATACTCTGGGAGAATCGACGGCTGGCAGGCCGTGTACATCTTTGGGGTTCTGGAAAAGGTGTTTGAGTAGGTCGGCGTTTGCGTGTGGCATTCGGGGGACAGGCACGGCTGGGAGAGCCGGCGCCTGATTGAGTTATGAATGAGCAACGGTCACGAAGCCGACAGCAGCGGCGCGGAATCGCTTGGAAGACGGGGCGAGGGAAGGAAATACCAACAGCGCTGTGCAGGTAGTAGACGACAATGGGATGTCTTTGTCCTGGGAATCATGGAGCTCTTTGCTGAGGCGCGTGCGGCGAGGCCATGAATTGGGCTCGCATGGTGACTGCAATGGCTGCGACTGATGGCCTCGGCCGACTGTTGTCCCTTCAAGTGGACAGGCAAATAACTGCTCCAGCCAAACGAATGCCAGCTGGGCATGCAAGGCACACACACACAGAGGAGAGGTGATTCGAAAAAGTTTGTGCCTGCATCGCCACCGACGCCTTCGCGGGCTGACGGCGCGGCGCGGTCGAGACGTCTGGCGAACGGGGCTACGGGACAACGTCGCCCGCCAGGCGGCGCCTAGCGCATTGCGGAGAAGGCTCCAAAAGGCGCCGATTGGGCCCCCGGGATCGAGCCGCGCCCGCACGCGGAGAAGTCGGGGGCTTCCCGGGACTTTGCTGTGCCTCTCGTGCGTGTATGTGTGTGTGTGTGTGTGTGTGCCTGGGCGACCCAATGGCATTTCGCATTCATTATCAACCAAACCTGGGATTTACAATGTCGCCCGCGATTCCCGATATGAGCCCATGATCTCTGGCGGGGAAGGGGGGGCTCCACTGCTGCCGAGGTTTCCATGCCGGTGGTGATGTGCGACTTTGCCTTCCTTCTCTGCCTCTGCATGGTAATGAATGCATGGGTTAGTAGCCCCCATCCCTGCATATGTGACGCTTCGAGGTGGTGAGATGCGTCTCTGCGAGGAGTGACGGACTGGTCGTGGACACAAGTCATGGACGGCAAGGTTGCGACTCGTGGTTGTACGTGGACAGGAACACAGACAAAGCTGAAAGGGCAGCACTGTGTGTATGCTGTGCCGCACAAATGGCGGCCCGTGCGGCGCGGCTGACACCGTCTCCGGGATCTTTAAGTACGAGCGGCGGCGTCGCGCGCGGCGTAGCAGTCGCGGCGGTTTCCCCGTGTAAGTGCGAAGGGGCCGCCAGGTGCCAAGGGTCCTGTAGATTCCGGGATCAAGAGCACGGCATACCCACCTCGGAAAATGTTAATGTACTCATCGTACGTGGAATCGCCTTGAAAATCGTATGTTCGACTCCAGCTGGGTTCTGTGATCTGGGGTCGGGCGCGGACCCGATGGGCTGCTGTTGTTTTTGGCGGAGGGCAGAGACAGCAAAGCGAGAACGGAGACGGAGCAACGGACGGACGCGGCCACGGAGGAGGGGGCACACTGGCAGCGAGACCGGGGGTGGCGGCGTGGGGGACGGGAGCAGCCAGGGCCTGGCGGTGGTGGTGGTGACGGCGGCGGTGCTGCTGGCGGCGGGCCGTTGTTGCACGGTCTGTAGGTTGCGCTGCATGTCGTGCGACTTGAGCAGCACGCGGAGCCGTGACAGCTCTGCGCGACGTCGTTCTTCATCATCGGGCTTCCAGCGTCGCTGATGATGCTGCGCTGTATCTGTGCGATCGCCCAGCCCTGCCTGTTCGAGCATCCCCTGGCCCTGCCCTGTCTGCCTCCACGGCGGGCACAAGCACGGGCCTGTCGACGGCGACAACACTTGCACGAACGGCGAATAAACTGGGGCACCTCGGCATCAGCGGTCTCAAGCGCGCTGTGGCGTCGACATCTGGGGCGTTGGATTGGGGGGAGGGCAGCATGGCATGGGTAGTATTGGGTGAGGGAGAGGGGCCGGCTGCCTAGCTGGGCCGGCTGGGTTGGTTTGGGGGAGCGGAGGGAAACAAACAACCTTCACCTGCCGCTGCAAAGTGTGGGGAAGAGGAGCATTGAGCAACGAGGTCCGTTCTGTTCGAGTCTGGACGGTCATGCATTGGCAAGACGCCAACTCCATCCCCCCTTCCGCGTTCCCGACTTGTCTGTAACGAAGCGGCAAGACCAACCCGGTGGCGCTCCTTCCTCGTTCCGCGAAAGCTGACCGATCCCTCTCAATTCACCTCACTCATCGTCGTCTTGCACCGCCCGCGGCCCCCCAGGTTTGAGCAAGCGTCCCCCCCGTTCCTCTCTCCCGCTTCTCACATGCGAATCCCGCCCTGGCTTGACCCCTTCGCCGCTCAACGTTGCCCCCCCAGTCCGCTCCCCCGCCCCCCCGGCGGGTGGCCTGACACCAGTTTTGGCGCCAAGGACGTTAGTGATCCGATCGAGCGAGGAGCTCCCCTGCCCAGCCCAAACCCCAAACCAACGGGGGTGGCAGCCACTTCGTTCCCGTCCCAGGACCCTGCGTGCTCGCCATATAAATACCCACGAGCCCCGGGGCCAAGCGCGCCGTCGAAGCTCCACCTCCTCCTGGTGGACTTCCTCGTCTCGTCTCGTCTCATCCATATCCTGCTTCGGCATCCCGTCGATCTGAGACGTTGCCTGCTTGGCAGCTCTGCCTGAGTAAAGCGGAGGGACAACGTCGCGTGGCGACAGAGCATACTCGACGCCTTGCTTGACACACATACAAGACTCTCACCAAGCTCCAAGCTCCAACCACTCACCATGGATCTGCCCGCGGAGCACACGCCGGTGGCAACGCCGATGCCCGACCCGCCCTCCGGCGACTTCATGACTGTCGAGCAGTGGGAGACCATCTTCGCTCTGCTGGACGGCGTTATCCCAGCTATCGCTGAGGCCTCCATGTTCAGCGAGAAGGCCCATCTCACGCTGTCGACATCCGAGTACGAGAAGCTCCTGGAGCGCGGGACCAAGTCGCTGCTCGAAGCGCCCTCTCGCGATTCCGTCAAGGAATTCTTGCGATACAGACCCTCCGATGACGAGGCATTCCGTCTCGACGTCCTCAACACCTTGGCAATTACACCGCAGAGGAAGCAGCTTGCCAAGATCATGAACCTCCTCGGGTACGTTGTATAAGCTCTCTCGAGTGACGTCCATGAGATTTCGTTTTTGACACGTCTCGCCAGCACTCACTACGGTAGCCTTCTCCTGACTGGCTACTGGAGTCCCGTCACCCAGCAGCCCGTGAAAAATCGCGAGGCGATCATCAAGTCGTGGTCCCAGTCAAGACTGCCCAGCCTCAGAATGCTCGCCAAGGCTCTCGTCACAACAGCCCACAAGGCTCACGCCATGTCCAGCCCCTATTTTGGCTCACTGTCCGGCTACACGGACGTGCCCGTCAACTGGAAGGCCGGTGACGGCTACGACTACAAATTCATCCAGGTCGGCAGCGGCGACGGTGTCCACGAGATCTCTACCGACGTAGTCATCGTCGGTTCTGGCTGTGGCGGTGGAGTTTCCGCGAAGAACCTCGCCGAAGCTGGCCATAAGGTCATCGTCGTCGACAAGGGTTACTACTTTCCTCCTTCCCAGCTGCCCATGCCTCAGAGTGCTGGCGCCAAGTACCTTTACGACCATGGCGGCGTCACGATGACAGACAACACGAGCGCCGGCATTGCTTCTGGTGGTGCCTGGGGCGGCGGCGGCACTGTCAACTGGAGTGTCTGCTTCCGGCTGCAGGACTTTGTACGTGAGGAGTGGGCTGCCAAGGGTCTGCCGCTCTTCAAGTCGTCCGAGTTCGACGACTGCCAAGACCGGGTATGGGACTTTATCGGCGCCAGCAAGAGCGGCATCCGCCACAACCACAGGAATCAGGTGCTGCTAAACGGCTCCAGCAAGCTGGGATGGAAGGCCGACGCCGTGGAGCAGAACACGGCCAGCAAGGAGCACTACTGTGGCCAGTGCCATCTTGGTTGTGGCTCGGCTGAAAAGCGCGGGCCTGCTGTGGCGTGGCTGCCGGCCGCTGGTGAAGCTGGTGCCGAATTCATGGAGGGGTTCGAGGCGAAGAGAATCATCTTTGCCTCGGACGGCGTCACCGCTATCGGTGTGGAAGGGCTCTGGACGTCGAGGGATTCGGAAGGCCAGATCCACACACCACTGAGCTCTCGTACCCAACGCACCGTCCGGATCAAAGCCAAGAAGGTCATCATTTCCGGTGGCTCCCTGTGGACTCCAACGATCCTGCAGAAGAGCGGCGTGAAGGTGAGAAACAAGCAACTCGAGTGATGGCATGTGCGAAAAATCTTGAACTGGGCTGACGAGACAACAGAATCCGAACGTCGGCAAATACCTGCATCTTCACCCTGTCAACTTTGTCTCCGCAACGTTCCAGGAGGACGTGCGGCCATGGGAGGGCGGTATCATCACCAGCTACTGCGACGAGTTTGAGAACTTGGATCGCAAGGGCCACGGCGTGAAGCTGGAGCCTTCCTGCATGGTGGTATGTTGAGAGAGCCGGAAGAGAACCCCTCGTCTAGGAGTGTGATTTGCTGACTTTGAGCCAGCCGTATGCGACATTTGCCATGCAGCCGTGGTACGGTGGCCAGGATGCTAAGCTCCTGGCTCTCAAATATCGCCATCTCAACACGTGGGTCGCATTGACCAGAGACCGCGACTCGGGTCGCGTGTACGCAGATCCCAAGACGGGCGAGCCGCGGGTCGACTACACCACGTCCGACTTCGACCGGGACCACACGCTGGAGGGTGTCCAGGCTCTGGCCAAGATCTGCTACGTGACGGGCGCGACAGAGATCCGACCACACCTGGGCGGCCTGGAGCCTTTCGTTCCCGACGACGGCGGTGAACGCCAGAGGCAGCACGTTGCCGGAAAGGACCCGGAGTTTACGGACCCCAAGTTTGCGGCATGGCTGAAGCAGCTGCGCAAGGTCGACAACAAGCCCCCTTTCTCCATCTTCGTGTCAGCGCACCAGATGGGCTCATGTCGCATGAGCAGCAGCCCCAGCTCGGGCGCCGTGGATCCGAACGGCAAGGTTTGGGGTCATGAGAACCTGTATGTCGCAGACGCAAGCGTGTTCCCAAGCGCGAGTGGTGTCAACCCGATGGTGACGGTCATGTCGATTGCCGACTGGATCTCGCGGGGCATCTCGCGGGAGCTGAAGTAGGCCCCATCTGTTGCTTTAGGCAATGGTGGAGAGGAAGAGGCGGATCAGCATCTAATACCAATGGAGGACATGGCAGCGCGTTCTTCGGATACCCGGTTGCGTCGGAATGTATAGTGTAGGTAGTGGGTTGTCGCGGCTGACACTCTCATCATTTGAATGATAGCTTGGATTTGCTCCGAGATATACTCCCGTATAGCCGAGCGAAGGCTCATGTGAACATGCGAGCTCCGAAATAGCGCAGCGCGCATGACTGTGAAGATTATTGTTCTTGTTGGAAGTGAGTGTCGAAGAGTGTTCCGCGGAGAAGGAGGCGACAAGGCGGGGATTGCGTCAGGGGTCACGACTCACGAGTGCCATGTGCTTGCCGGGATGCATTTCTCGCCAAGAAGTTGCATTGAGTAACTAACTGCCGAACTCACATATGGAACTACTTGCCTATTCCAGCTGCGGTTTTGGCAACAGAGGATGACAGAGGGTGGTGGTCAGAACGGCTCAAGCGGCGGCCGAACGACAGGCATAGAGACGTGTCCGCAGAGCGACATGGCTAGGCGGAATAGTAAGGATGAACGCCCGCCTCAGCGGCATTCCGGCCCTTCATGTTGGGGTTACAGAATCAGAGGCGGCCAGGATCGTGGAGTGCGAGACGGCCAAGACGGAACGGAAGTATTGGCCGATCTGTGCGATTCAAATCAGCAGAGCAGACGACATGTAGCCCTACAGATACATGGGCTATGAGCTAAGTGGTTAAATGAAAAGACGATAAGCGATCGAGAGCATGTTATGCATGGATATGAACGACTGCAAACCTCAGTCCTGGTCTTGGAATGACTCGCGGGCTGTGAACTCTCGCCGGGACGATGTTCATGCGCAATGCCTAAAAGACTGCCTCATCAACGTGCTGGATCTCGCTGTGAGATCCCAGACAACGCGCCTTTTTTCCCTTTTACCCCTTTCTCCGGCACATCGAGTGCTCAACTAGCCAGGATCATGGACCCTGACGCAAGGGCTCATGCGACCTCCCCATCTACCTGCTTGCCCAAACCCAAGGAGAGGAAGGCGGTGCATGATGCCCGTCGTCTACATGGCTGTGAGCTCATCAAGGTGGCACGAGGGCAGGCGGCCATAAAACGTCGCGCTCACGCTCGTTGCTTTGAAAGAATAAGATGATGATACTGAGTTCATCTGAAGCTCTCTCGTAGCGCGCTCCCCAAGCAGTCAGCTTTATACTAAAGAGTCAGTCGAAGCCATGAGGGCGTATCTATGCCTGGCACTCTTCGGAGGACTGGCCGTGTCATCGCCTCTGGTTGGATCTCATCCAGAGCCAGCCTCGGAGGAAACAAACACAGTTTCAAGTGGCATCAGGGACACCACGGCGGAACACCCGGCGATCTATATACACTCTGCCGTGCTCGCGGGCAGAGCCAACGTTCCCTCTCTCGGCGCAGGCAACACGCCACTCCCACGATCCTTCAAGCGCCAGCAACAACAGGCCCGCGAGCCCGAGTTCAAGCTCATCAAAGCCAAGGAAGCCGCCACCGCCCCCATCATCGGCGTCCCGCCACCCAAGGACAATGGCCCCCCGCAGCCGCTCAAGCCCCGGCCCGCGTGGAAAGTCGGCGACCCGCTCAGAGCCCGCGCCGGCACCTTCGAGTACGGCTTCTTCTACCGCGGGGACAACCGCCCGCCCGCGCAAATCTTCAAGGAAGGGTTCACGGGCCGCGGCCACAACGCCAACATCCTGGACCACCTCAACGGCGTGAGCAAGGACGACTCGGCGTTCGTGTCGGTGACGCGCAGCCGGGACCGCGCCGAGACGTACGCCTTCGGGTCGAGCTTCGCGCCCAAGACGGAGACGGGCTACGTGTACAAGATTTCGTACCGGGGCATGCCGGACGGGTACTTCATCCCGCAGGCCAAGAGGGACCCCAACCTCGAGTTCATGACGCCGGGGCGTATCCCGCGGGAGACCATCGTCGGGTGCTCCGAGGTGCGCAAGGGGGCCGGTTTGGGCGCCGTCGAAGAGGTGAAGTGGACCAGGAATCCAAAGTACAAGTACTACTGGCAGGACAAGAAGCCGCGGTTGAATGCTATCTGCGGTGGCAAGAAGCGGGAGGAGTGCGGCGAAGGGGCGGGCAACAACCCCAAGGCCGAGGAGGAGAAGGAGGTCCCCCACCAGGGAGTCGGTCCCGACGAGGCAGACAAGGCACAACACGGCACGGACAACGAGGCGGAGGGGGGTGAAAATGCGAAGAAGGGGAAGAAGCCTACGGGGGGTAAACCCGGTCCCAACGAAGTGCACGAAGACGCAGAGCCACCGCACCCGGGAACCAAACCGGGGGCCACGCCGGGCCAGACTCCATGGTACGAAACCGCCTCGGCAAACGCGCTCCTCCAATGGGCCACGGAAATAACCCCCAAGTCCTTCGAGCCCCTCGTCAAGGACCTCCAAGCCGGCACCATCAACGAGTCCGACCTCGTCATCTGCTTCACACAAGCCTGCTCCCGCGCCATCTCCCGGCGCTACGAGGCCTTCTCCACCCCCGAGGCGGCGCTCGAATCCCTCATCCACCTCTTCACCGACGCCGCCGCCGCGGCGCGCAGCCGCACCGTCCCCGCCGGCTTCTGGATGGCCGTCGTCGAGGAGATGCCCGCCGTGGCGAGGAGGGTCCACGCCGCCAAGACGCCCGAGGAGAAGATGGCCATCGCGCGGCGGAACCTCGACCCCGTGGTGCGGGTTTGGCTCAAGACGCCCCTGGGGGCCGGGTACGAGGCCTTGGCGAGCAGGACGGCGCGCCATGGGAACCCGGGGCGGCAGCTTGTCGATACCTTTGTCGACGCGTGGGAACATACGCCGGTGGGATATGTGTTTAAGAAGGCTTTTGAGTTTTTTGATTGACCAGGCGAAGGCGAAGGCGAAGGCGAAGAAGAAGAAGAAGAAGAAGAAGAAGAAGAAGAAGAGCAAGAAGAAGAAGAAGAGGAAGAGGAAGAGGAGGCTTGATACTTGGCCTTCTTCTTGTCTCTGATTTCTTTATAATCCATTACTGTTGTTTTGCCAGCTCGCTTGTCCGCTCGCATCCGCCTCTAATTCGTTTATAATCACGTTTACTGTGCAAGCTCGCTTGTCTGCCCGCAAGAGACGGAGAGCGAGATGAGACTTCGCAAAGATTGGGCTCCTTGCGCAAGCCTGGAACGTAGGTGCATAGAGCGCTTCTTACGCAGATGGAATAGAGGCATGCATTTTGACGATGGATCAAGACTCTAGAGGGCATATGCCTTGCACAATCAATGAATCAGGTATAGCAAGTCTGCTTTGCTGACTGGCCATGTCGAGTCCAAAGGAGCGCATTCATTTGCAGTCGTCATTACGAAGTAGTTTTGTTACTATTTCCAGAACAAGCCACACGGCAAGCACATCTACCCAACGTGGTACTTAACTTACTTTGCGTCTGGAGACAGAGCAGGCAACGTTCAAACGCTCGCCCGCCTCGCCCGGGCTAAACTACTGACGGACGAGAAGAAAAGGCGACGACGTCAGAATGCGGGGCAGCGCCAACGACCAGCACGGCGGTACAGGGGCCGGTGAGGCGGTGCACCACCATGACCAGCCACGACGACGACACCGACCAGGACCCTAGGCAGTCGGGGACGCCGAACAGACAGAGGGCCGGCGTGCCTCGTGGGCCTGCAGGAGGACCGACGCTCACTCAGCTGCGCATGGGTAGGAAAGGGTCGAGCATCGTGGCATGGGCAGGGGCAGGGGCAAAGACAAAGCGGATGCAGCAAACCCTTTTTTTGTTTGGCGACTTGCCCGGTCGAGGGGGGGAAGCCGCGCGCGCATATCGCCACGACGCTCTGGCACATGATGCTGCTCCGCTCTCGCTGTGCGTTGGAGAGAGAGAGTCAACGGGCTTTTGGTGCAAAGATGCGCCACAGACAGCCAACAATGCAAGGGTGGCGGCCGGCTGCCTCCCTCCCACCCATCCCTCCCTCTGGTCGTAGCAGCCGCCCGTCCCTCAAGCCCCCTGCACAGATCCGATCGTGGCTGAGGCGCGTGGCCTGTTGATCCCCGACCTCGCTCGCCACAGCCTGCTGCTGTCCGACCGCAACGCTGCAGACTGGGCAAGCCGACCGAAAACATGGCATTGTGCGACTGCAGATTTTCCATGCGCAGGGCCGACAGGGAGCATGTCCACCCCGGAGATCTGGGAGCGCAAAGCCTCCCTTTCGCCACCCGCTGCACGTGGCCTCGTCTGTTTGGATGATGACAGGCCGCATCCTGGGGGACAATCCAAGCAAGTCAGCGATGCAGTGGCAGAGGCAGGCAGAAGCAATCATGTGCCCCTGGATGAGCGTCAGCGCGGGCGCTCAAACATGCCCTTTTCTTTTACGCAGTGAAGCGGCGACGTCTCTCCCCCGTGTTTGGCTAATGCGTGTCCGGAGTGCGTCTCCTGCCTCGGCGCCATCAGAGAGACAGAGAGGACTGACTACCTGCGTACTTGGTAGGCAGTTGTCGAATCAGGGCGCGATGCGAAAGACATTGCCGCTCTGCAGTGTGCAGTCTGCAGTCTGCAAGTCCTCACCTCGTGACCTCAAACTGCGCGTGCGTCCTGACCTGCTTGGCACGTCACAAGCAAAAGGCGCCCCACGCAACACACAATGGCCAGCCCGCCGGCCTGCAGGATCAAGGCCAAATCTCTCGTGTCGCACGTCTGTCAACCCATGGTGTCGTCATCGCCGGTGACCGGCGCATCGTGAAACCCCTCCAAGGCGCGTTGGGCCTCTGCGTCTCTGCGTCTCTGCGTCTCTCCAAGGGCCGGCCTGGCCTCGTCACCACGCCCGCCCCGTTGCAGACCCAACGCACTGGCTGCCTCCCGGGCGGAGACGTCAAGCCACTGCAGCTGTCAAGTCTGCGGCGGCGGCGGCCGATCTTGCAACAAGAGACGAAGGGGAGAAAAAATCAACCCCGGTATGTGCAGGCGTGCAGGGACGCCAACGTGGCCGCGTGGAGCATCATCGTGGTTGTTGACTCGATGGAGACGACGGATCATGTTGATGCTGCGACTGCCTCGGGGCGCAACCTGCCAAAAATAGAAATCGAGTTGCCTGGCACTGGATGGCAGGCACGGCGGGGGAAAAAATGTCTGTGGTGGAAGGAGTCCAGTACGTACCTTACCTCGCTCACTCTGGCCCCCGCTCTGCCCTTTGTCCTTTGGCCGTCTCGGGCGTCCCACCTCATCCATCATCGTCCCAACCCGCTGCCGGCTCCACTGCCGTGCCTGGCCAGGCCAGGATCCCAACTGCAAGGTTCCAGTTTCCGGCGGACTGGTACCAGCGGGGAGCAACCTGGCAAGCCTGAGCCGCGAGTCCTGGAGCCCTGGAGCCCTTGACCGACGCTGCTCCAATTCCAGCAAACTTGTACCGGTACGCCGAGGCGAAAGCCCAGCAAACGTCGGCAGTCGCGCGGGGCCGCCGCTGCAGTCATGTGCTGATGAGCGCGCTTGCACGCGAGTCCTCGCCTGTCTTTCGCGGCATGCGCATCCGTAGTCCCTTCCTGTCCGGGCCAAGGCAGCAGCTTTGGGGCCCAGCAGTGAGCACGGTGAAGAAAAACTTGGAACGGCAAGTGAGCTGAGCGCCGTGCGCCTGCCCAAGTCAAAGCGCCACTTGCCCAGGAGGATGCGAGCGTAAGCAGATCATCCGCAGATGCTGGGGTTGCGACTGCCATAGATCCGCGGGGAGGACACCGAACAGTCAAGACTCAAAGCGCCGCCCCCAATGTGGTCGGCGAGCAAGGCCACACCGGACGTACTTACCGCCCCAAACAGTTGACCGAGGGCCATCCTTGGAAGGACACGCGCGCCGGCTGGTAGGGCTGGGGCGGAAGACAGTACCTTCAGCAGGCACCACAACCGGCACGACAGGGTAGGATAGGCACGGCAGCTCCTGAATGCCTGCACTCCGAGCCAAGTGCAACAATGCAGCTAGCCCGTCAAAGCCGCCGAGACCTCGCTCCTCGCATCAGCTTTAATCAATATACTAGCATCTTCCTCCGGATCCTACTCCGCCATCGAGAGCGGGACGAACCAGACCGGATCCTTGATCCTTGAGGCATGGCGGTTGCATTCCTTCACTGGCGGCCCCAGCAGTCGCAGCTCTCGGCCAGGGCAGAAGCAAAACGAGTCTGCTACCTGTACGCACGCCTCGCAGACTACGGTTAGTGCAGCCGAGGTCGTACATTGCACATACATACATGCAATGCGCAGAATCCTGAATCTCAAGTCGAGATGCGACACGGCGCGGCGAGACGAGACGAGACGCCCGGGCATTCGCACCCGCCAGGGTAGGTTGAGAGGGAGGATGATGCAGCCACGCAACTGCCGCCGAGCGAGCACCGAAGCCTGACAGAAGTTCCAGGCGTTCGACGGGCCACGGCTGTGCGACAGTCACCCGCCATCGGCTGCAACGAGAGCCCGTTGCATGGGTGCAGGCAAGGAGCGCTCGGTCGCTGTTTCGTTTCATTAGACATTTCGCGACAGCATCGCCGACTATCAGATCGACAGTGGGAGCATCATGGTCCGTTGGCTTGACTTCCTTGGATTCAAGCGCGCCGCTTGCAGCTTGGCTTGCCCGATGCCGCGGCGGCCCGCGTCCCTGCGCTCTCGTCGTCCCCATACGTGCTCCTCTACCCGCTCGGCCAACGGACCAGCCAGCCCTCTCCCGCTAGGCATTCGCCCAGACCATTGAATCTCGAGACGGCGCGGCATCACCAAAAGCCTAGACATCTGATCAAAGTCGACTTACAAGAGGTGATTGGCCTTTTCCAGCCGGCCAGGAGCCAATCACGCTGACTGCTCGTCGCCTCCTGTCGGGCAACTCCACTCCCTGCTGTGCAACTCCACCCAGCACCACCCTCTGGCCGGTGCCTCTCTTCGACGGCGCTTCCAATCAGGACCTCTAGGCGCCCCTGTCCGTCTGGCAACCCTCAGCTCACAGCCGCTGCTAGCATGGATAGGCCCTCCGGACAACATACGAGACCACCCACTCACAAGCTCACGTTGCTTCGCGCCCAGACATCCGCCCTCGACCGTCCATCGCGAAACTCTTCCCACCCCCCCTTTTCCAGACTCTCCGGCCTCGACAAGCTGCCAAATCCAGTCCTGACAATGCTGCAAATCCCCACGCTGCGCCGTTCCCCTTGGACGCCAGGGCCAAGCTCATCAAACCCGTTGCAGGGACCTCCAGAAGCATTGCCCAACCACCGTCGAGTATCGCTTGATTGACAACGGGCAGAGCTCACGGCATCTGGAAGCGTCCACCCCCGGCGAGGGAGCAGCCGCGTCCTAAGGGGCGGCTTGACCCAAGGCTTGGCCCAAGCGGGATGGGATGGGCCGTCGCACAAATCGACTTGCCGATCTCAGCGAGACCACGGAGGCGACGGGAGTTGAGGATATGCCCCATGGCCCATGCTCGAGGCCAGACCTAGGAGTCTCGGGCCTTGCACGAATGGAAACAACCTCGAGACCAGCCGGCCGGTCGGCCAACCGAAGACCTATCCGCAGCTTCTGGTACGTCGAATCCTAATGAAGCCGTGAGTTTGATGACACCCACACGCAGGGGCAAGCGTGCCTCCTGCATGCGGTGCTTGCCTGCCTCAAGTTGCACCCTCGTATCCTGCGTAAGCGGCCCAGAGTGCAGGCGCCAGATGTAGGCAATATGCAAGTCATGCTCACAGACGTCGAAGCTGTGTCTTCGTTGATGGCCGTCGAGGTGGACGGAGAGCATGGGTTGCCGTCCCTACCATCCCGAAGACACCGTGACAAGGTCAGGCCCCATGTGGAAGTCTGGCGTCCTGAGTCACCAGGGCAAACAATTATTGGGGGCGGGCAGCTCTCCCAAGAGGGAAGTTTCGGAGTCGATGGGTCCTGGTCCATTGTACTCAATCTCCGTGTCGCAACTTGGCGCCTATCTGGACTCTGCGCGAAGCCAAGATGGCTTACTCGGCCACCGTTTGACTTCCGCTTGTCAC